CTAAACCAAATGTAGTAGATATTAAACAAAAGTCAGCTCAAACAAAAGGTAAACCCAATGTTGAACTTTAAAGCACAAATTAAAACTCAACAAATCAAAAGTGGCATATCAAAGAGGAAAAAATAGTGTTAAAATAGTCAAGAATGGCTAATGACAAATACGGTTGCATCATAGAACACCGAAAAAAAAAATCAAAACTTTAATGGACAAGCATAATGTAGATTGAGGGTTTCAAAACACCTTCCATAGACCCTACAAAGGTCTTTCTAGGGTGGGAGAGCAATCAACGATCTTCAGAAAATGCTCAAGCTCCCTCTTCCTCCTTGATTGCCACTCATTCTCCTTCCTCTTTTATTCCTACCAAGATTTATCACTATTGAGGCTCATCTTGTTTGCAAAATGTGTATACATTTTTGATAAGAAACGGTTCGTCAAGCTCCTAGGGTACTCGCTTTCAGCCCCAACATTCACTTCCTCACTATCTTCCCCTTGCAAATTCTCCAAACTCGAACTCCTTTTGAAATCGTTCCTACCTTTCCTCTCTTCTAAGTTCTCATAGCTAAAGCTTACATTTTCTTTGACCAAGACGTGGCCACTACCCATGAAATTGATGTTCACTGGAACCAGATTTTGATCCAAACACACGAATTCAAGCCAACACTCGAAATCTCTGGACAAGATTTCACTATGCCCCTCTAGATCGAGAAAATTCATGATTAAAAGAAACCACTAGCTTTTTCCTACCATTGATTCGTTGCTACAGAAGGCATTGATTTCGACTGAGAAAAACCTAGATCTAGGTTTTGAGAGAGGAGGAAGAAGGGAGAAGAGAGAGAGAGAAAGAATAAGGATGAGCAGGGAGGAAGAACGGAGGAAGAAGATGAAGTTTGAGAGAGAACCCAGATCTAGGTTTGCAAAGGTAAGGGAAAAGGAAAGGGAAAAGGAAAGGTGAAAGAGATAGAAAGTGAAAAAGGAAGAAAAGATGATGTGGACGGAAAAAAAGAGATCTCATTATTTTTAAATTAAATAAAAATGTCAACTCATACAAAAGATGGTCAATTATGTTTTTTTTTTTCATGTCATTATTTCAAGAAAAAAGAAATTGATTTATTGGCAAGTTAACGTGTCACCTGTCCATTTAATTAACGGAAAAACTGTTTTAGTATTGAAAATGAAAATTTAAAGATAATTTTGATACTTTTTAAAGTTGAAAGATAATTTTGATGCTAAAGTGAAAAATTGAGAGAGCAAAATGGTATTTAAACCTTTACTTTTCTTTGTTGAGAAGAGAAACCTCGAGAGAAGGACAATTGAGATGCTCCGGACATGCAGTCGTTGTTCTTCTAAAGGGTAGATCTGAGGGATTTTTTTTTTTTTTTCTTAAGACAGTTTATTATGGGATGAGCATTAAGCGTGTTGTATTCTAGGGTGGTTTGTCATGCATCAGTCATGCACCAGTCATGCACTGCCCATTTTCACTCACACTCCATGCACCCAAATGAGCGCGGCACAATAATTTTTTTTTTTTTGAGCAAAGGGCGGCACAATAATTAAAACTGTAAAATGCTTGCAAAGTGCCTGAAACTGTCCAACAAAAATTTTAATTATATTAGTGGGAAGGTTGCGAATGCTTCAACATTCCATCGACTTCGCAGAAATCTCCATTGGCCAAAAAAATAGAAAATTCAAGACTCTAACAGCTTCAACTGCTCACAAACTATAAATACTCACTTTCCTCACTCGTTTTCCTCACACCCAAAACATACCATCAACGAAAAACACACAAGTACTCCAAAAGAAAAAGAACCATGGAAATCAACCAAATTCTTTCATGGGCTCTCTTTTTTCTAGTTGCAGTAGTCTCTGTTATCTTCATGAAGCAAAGGAAAACCTTTGCTAAAAGTGAGAGGAGGCTACTACCACCAGGGGAAATGGGGCTTCCCTTCATTGGTGAAACAGTGGACTTCTACACAGCTCAAAAGAACAACCGGTTTTTTGAAGAATTCATCCAGCCCCGGTTATCAAAGCATGGACAAATCTTCAAAACTAACCTGATGGGGTCACCCACTGTATTTGCAAATGGAGCGGAAGCCAATCGGATCATCCTATCCAATGAGTTCAAGCTGGTGATAAGCTCGTAGCACTCATCGTGTGTCATGCCTCAGAACCCAAATTTGGGGACGTGCAGACGCCGTGCACTTGTGAGAGGATCCCACAAATGCACAAGGCTTGGAATTTATTCAATTCACATCTGACAATCCAATAACTTAAACAATATATTTCAAATTAATTCTATGTCCAACACTTAAGCTCAAAATCTCAAGGTAAAATCTATC